TTTACTGTGTACAACTCCCATGTATTGGCTTCTTATCGAGTGTTTTCCTTTTTTTTTCGCTTTCAGTGATCATTAAGGTGATATATGTGTTGTGTGTGTGGTGTGTTGTGTGTTGAGAGAGGAGCACAGAAGTATTTCACGCATCTTTCACAGCAGAGTCCTACCTGGAGCTCCACAGCAACAGCAACGAGCACCAGACAGGTGTTCCATGTCAGGTTAGAACGTCGTGTCTGCCCGTCTTGTCTTGCTGTCTGCTCTCGATGTCGCTCAGTGTGCTGCTTCCTCAGTGTCTGTCTGCGTACAGGAAGAGGTTGGACCTTTTACGGAGCTATTACCGTGCCTGACTCTGTCACAGTAGTGTATAAAACAGACACAGACTGCTTAACATAAGTGCCCTGAAATAAACGAGGTCATCTATTAGATTACTTATTATTGACCTAAAGCCCATTTGTCGTACTGGTTCCACCTCACAATCAGCTTCAGCGGGAGGATCATGGCTGATGGTTACACGTGACTGTAACAGCGGTTGGATGCTTTCCGTCTGTACTCTGTGTTTTCTTGCACTGTGGAACTTTTGGCTGCCGGGTCGGGGACGAGTGTTACGCCTTTACGCTACTGAGCACACACACCAACTATGTGACTGAATTTTTGTGAAAACTTGGATCATATTTTATGAGAAAATGTTTTTGGTTTTTCCCTCTGACTCATAATCACTTTCTCTCTTGATGGCAGCACCACTTGATTTAAACTGCTGAATGCTTTGAAACTGCTTTAACTGCTTTTTAAACTGATTTAAACTCTTTAATTTCTGATTTTTAACTGATTTTAACTATTTTAACTATTTTAAACCTGCTTTAAACGATTTAAACTATTTTTAAACTATTTTAAACTGCTTTAAACTGATTAAACTATTTAACTATTTTAAACTGCTATTTAAAACTGATTTAAACTGCTTTAATCTGATTTTAACTGATTGTAACTTATTTTAAACTATTTTAAACTGCTTTAACTGATTAAACTATTTTAAAAACTATTTTAAACTGCTTAAACTGATTTAAACTTTTTTAAATATGTTGTGTTAAACTGCTTTTAAACTGATTGAACTATTTTAAACTATTTTAAACGCTTTAACTGATTTAAACTATTTTAAAATATTTTAAACTGTTTAAACTGATTTAAACTATTTTAAACTATTTTAAAAACTGCTTTAAACTGATTTTAAACTTATTTTGTTTCCGATGGTCTTTTTTTGTTAATAATTTTTGTCCATTAAAAGGTGATGTTTTGACAGTGTGTGGTCTGCAGTTTAATTCTTAAATTGAAATACCCTATAAATGTTCAAGCATTTCATTAATTTCTATTATATAATTGTCTATTTAGGCTGAAAATTATATAATTATGACCTTTATTTTCCAATTAACAGACTGATCTTCCCGACATACATTGCCATTTTTAGGTATAAATTTTAAATTTTTCCCCTCTTTGTATAACCCTTTTCAGTCCGCCACTGTTTAACTTTGCGTACAGGAACCGATCGCTCTATCAGCAGTCAAATATCTATGTTTCTTCTGAGCAGAAAGAGCCGTCACTCTTCCTGTGTGTTGGCTATTGGTGATCAAACCACATGTGAGCAGTGTTTGCTTTGTCCTACCGAATATTTGGCTTTTTATTTATTAGTTATGATTATTTTAGTGAGTTAACCTGTGCCCCCGCAGGATTTTTCTATTTGAAAGCTTCGATTTAGAGAAAACCTGAGGAAGAAGTCGACTCTTGAGGAAACATTGAAGTTTGTTGCACGTTTTCAGCTTTTCCGCTGTTGGGTTTTAGTGATGGAAGAAAGTAGGCTCACAATCTTTTACTGCAGTAAAAGTACTAATACCACAGTGGTACAAATCACTCTGCTACTAGTAAAAGCGTGCTGTTATTAAAACTGTCAGCTGACAAATGTACATTTAGTGCTTCCTGTGGACTGCTTCACAATTAAGAAGCACCTTTGTTTTGTCCTGCAGTTGAAGTGTGTTCATTGTGAAGGACAGCAGCAGACAGGATGTTTGTGTTAGCGTTACGTTAGTAGTAACTAAATTGCAGGAGAGTGATTGAAAGCTGGTGAAGATTCTGATTACGATGATGGATCGCATTCCTGTGCAGTCTGTCATGAGTCTGAGTCAGTGGAGGACTCTCGGCCAACAAGCAGTGAAAAGTACCTGCAGCAGAGAGATAATACGTGATTATAAGACACATTCGATTTGGATGTTGCAGAAAACGAAATAAGTTGTACTATTTTATAGATAATCATATATTTAAAACGTGTCTTCTTGGTGTTGATGAAGAAAGTTCTACAGAAGTTAAAATCTGCTCTGGTAGTCTGGCTGTTAGCTATCTGTACAATGTTTTCCTTTGTGTGTTTTCTTTAGTGTTGTGCGTCATTGAGTATTGGTATACCGAGGTCACAAAGATTCACCAGTAGTTATAAACAACAAGATCTTTAACCAGTGACCTGATAGAATTACAGCGTCATTGATTATTTGAGGACGAGCCAGAGAGCTGAAGGTCTAATGTATTTAGAAGATCTTATATTCTACTTACCAAAATGTATTAAAAATGGATTAATTCACGGTAGATTTTTAGCCCATTGGCGACTGCATATTTGGAGGCTGCAAGGTGCTCTGAATCATTGAACGCGGCACATGTCAGTCGTGGCGAAAATAGTCCATTTTCTAGGGGCCACTATGACGTGGCAAAATGGCCACTCAGGGACCCCTAAACTGTACATCTGGGCCTATTCACCGATGATGCACAAAGATCTGACATGCGTAGATCCTTATCAGACGAACAAAAAATCAGTGGGCGCGATAGTCGCAAAACCCAACAGGAAGTATGCCATGGTTGGATTTAGCGGCGACTTCTTGGCGATTTGCACATGTTGTATATTTGAACTCCTCCTCTTGGGAATTGATCGGTCGAGTTCAAATCTTGGACACAACCATATACTAAAGAGACATTAGACGAGTTCAAAACAAGTGTAGAACTAATTTAGACGAACAGCGTCCCTGTGGCATGGTGTACAATTTCAACGACTCGCATGAAAGAGGGATTTTGTCCATAACTTCTGCGACATGATGCCGATCTCCAACTAAACTTCACATGTTTGATAAGAGTCCGCTCTGAACACGTCTATCGTGATAATGAGAATACATCAGTTATAGTGGAGAGCGTCAGCTAGTGGTAAAGCGAATGCCAGTATTTTTATCACATCCATGGTTCCACTCATGATAGCAGCAAGAAATATCAGAATCCAGACTGAAATTGTATACTTATAAATGCAAAAACACAAGTTGTTTATAGATAATGTGATTCGAAATGTGGTGAGGGAGAGAATAGTGTTTTCTGGCGTGGCGTCAAAATTTTGTAATGTACCACACAAAACACAAAGTTTGCAATAATTGAATGTGACAATCTGTCCATTGGGCTCCAAACTTCACTCTGTCTGATAAGAGTCCCAATGAACACTTCTATGTGATAATGAAGATATAGTGATAGCGCCACCTAACTGGCAGCCAAGGAAGTAGCGTTGCGTGGCGATTTTGATCAGATTCTACGTGAAATTTTCATGTTGTGGTCCGTCGCGTGTTACGATGGCACGTGACATGGCCGCAGCACACCCCGAGTTGCGTGGGAAGTGCTAGGGCCCGTTATCGCTGCTTGCAGCTTTATTTCTGTTTATTTTTCATAAATTTTGTAGTATAGCACCAATTTATAGTTTATGCTGTAAGTGAGAGTTTTTTTGTTGCTGTTTTTCTACATTGAGTTTTTGGTAATGTAAATGATATTTTGAACTAATAGGAACAAGGTGAAAGTCAAAAGTCAGTTGTCATTTTCTACATTTTCAGAAATGAGTGCTTGTACACTGAAAAGGGAGGCATTCAATCACGTGCTGTTGCCATGGTAAAAATCTAAATGATCAGATTCGATAGTCAAATTTTAACTCCAAAGTCAGAATTATGAGAGTTGTAAAATTCTTAAATATAAAGGGGACCAAATCTATATAAATAATATGTTATAAATTATTAAAATGATGAGAATATAAAGTCCAAATTTTAACTTCAAGTCAGATTATCATGTAAGAGTGAAATAAATCTTTTTAGAATAAATAATAAGTTCAAAAGCACTTTAAGTCAAACCTGAAATAACAAGTCACAATGTGTACCTTTTAAATTTATTTTTCTAATTTTATAAACTATTTGTTGTATTTTTTGTTTGAAAAAAATGATAAGATTAAATTTAACCCTTAATAGAAGAATATGGTGAATGTTTCTGTAAGGTTTAATAAGTCAAATTTTGATTGTCAAAGTTTTATAAATGTAAAAATCTACAATGATCGATTGAATTATGAGATCGTTATAATCTTAAATAAAGAGGACCAAACTATTATAAAATATGATGATGTGATATAATGATTCCAATATAAAGTCCAAATGTAAGACTTCCAAAGTCAGAAATATCTCTTATTTAAGTCAAAATACTGAAATAAAAAGTCAAAATGTGTACCTTTAATTGTTTTATGATTTTAACTATTTGTTGTTATTTGTTTAACATTTTGCCCTAAATTTTCAATCGCTCTCTTGAACTAACAGGACATACGGCTGGACACATTCAACTAATTGTTCCTTTTTTAAGAGTAGCCTTAGAATTCTATGTGTTTTTCAGTTGTTTCTTTGACTGACTCTGCTCATGTTTGTTTTCGTGGATGTTTAAATCGTCTTTCTGGAGGTAAAGTAGTCTTTGAGTATCTAGAAAAGCGCTTGTAAACTACCGCTTATAAATAATAATAATAATAATAATAATAATAATAATAATAATAATAATAATTATTATTATTATTATTATTATTATTATTATTATTATTATTATTAAACCCGCCTGCGTTTTCTGTGACGTCAAACGCGTCGGGACGTGACTTGTTGCCACGGCAACCCACAAACAGCGGAGAGACCCCCAAACGTCTAAAGTTGAGCAAACAGAGAGAATATAATTAGTTATATCATCTATATTAATATATGAGTTGAGTCATGTCTGCTGTCCAAAGGTACAGAAGCTTCTCGTTCAGGTCCTGGGAGGAAGAGAACAGGACAGTGACAATGTTTGAAGTGTTTAACGGGACGATGAGAGAGGTTTGTGTGCTCACCGAGCTGAAGCTGCTGGTGGTTACTTAGAATAAGACCCAAAAACATTGGACAACTATCACTGAACATAGTTATTTATTTAATGAGATATCGTGACAGCGTCCCTAAATATTTAAATAATATAAATGTATAATATAATATAGAAATACAGTGGTGGAAGAAGGGCTTAGACCTTTCACAATAAAACTACAAATACAGTGTAGAAATATCCGGTTGCAAGTAAAAGTCCTGTATTCAAAATTTTAGGTTTAAAAATATCGATGCATTAAAATATACTAGTACAAAATGTAACATTACTCTTTAGATTAATATGTATTATTTATTATAACTGTTGATGCATTAATAAGTAGATACATCACTTTATTGTTGCTCAAGTAGTACCTCAAAATTGTACTTAAATACAGTGTTTAAATAAATGTACTTTCCACCACTAAATATATTAAAGTGAAATGGGTTTTATAATGTTTTGCACCAACATAGGAGGGAAAAGCATACAAAACGTGCCAAATAAGTCTGTTTTTTATAGCACAACAGTGTTTTTACACTCCTGACTCCATATTTGAATGACAAAGATTATTTAATTCATTTTAATAGAAAATTCTCTGTCTGAGTGATAATCTGGTAGGTGAATGTGCAAGTGATGAGTGTAGATACAGTCTGAGGGTTCGATGACATTGAAATTGAGTTTTTTAGATTATTTTTTCAGACTAAACCAAAAGAGAAATAGAGTCTTTTTCCCTTTATGCCTTCCTCATGTTGAATGCTTTGTCCTCTGCCATCCCCATATGTACAAGTCCTCCTCCTATTGGCCTTCTTCACCTGAAATACAAGGCTGTCCCAGCTGGGGATTGGCTCTTTACCGTGTGTGTATATCTGTAATTGCATCAGAGGGCAGCGGGCATCTCGGGAACAATGGGTTTCTAGGATATAAGCTTTTATAAACACGGAGGGCGCACACAGCTCGCTAGGGCTGCACTCACTCAGTGCTCGAGCTGGAGAAAAAGAGTGAGCGAGTACGATGGAGGAAATTAATGCAGAGGAAAAGAAAGAGGAGGAAACTGGGACTAGTTTATTTCACCTGCTTATGGCAAAGAGGAAGGACTCAGAAGAGGACGTGGTTCGTATTAAATTAAATAAAGAGGAGAGGAGTTGACAGTTTTAAGATAAATACTGCAGATCATGACACCTTTTACTGACAGACACTAATATTTGAGAAATGTACAACCCTTTTTTAGTAATCTTGTTATTTGTGCCTCAGTATATATTAAAATAAAGCCGTATAATTTAATACGTGATCTGTTTTTTGCTCCTGTATGTGTTTAATGTGTGACACTCCGCAGGTGTTTTTTAGGACTTTGTGTTGACGCTCTTTTCTTCGTTGTCTCTACAGAAGATCGTGCTACAGCGGCTGATAGTGATTGCTCGGCTCCCCCACCATCTCGCTGACAGGACAGAACTGGGAGGTCAGCCAGCAATTACCTTAGAGCTTCAAAGACCGACAGCACAATAGCTGAGTGCTTGATAATAAGGCGTCACTAGTCCACTGTCATTCTAATCAATGAACTAATCACCTGATACCAATTGAATCCAGTTTTCCTTCAAGGGAAATTGAAGGGAGATGGTAATCTCATTGATAGTACAAATGTTTGGATCTACGCTATTTGCTAACTGTACAGTGGATTTAAGGGAAACTAACTTCACTTAAAATCACCAAAACATAAAGTTCTGTCTTGTTTTTAAAGCTTTCACACCTCGGTATGTGAATGAGTCTGCAGGGCGTCCTTTAAGAGCTTTTTGTGGTTGCTGCTGACAAAAATTAGAATAGAAAGCCCACAATAAAAGCCCCAGGAAACTGTGTGTTGACAACAGAGCTGTGCTTTTATGTTGTCTACTGACTGATACACTGTTCTGTTGTTTGTTTCCATGCAGCTCATTATGAAAAACTCCACTTTCAGTTAAGCAAGGAGTACATGCGGGATCATATGACCGGCCTGCTGTTAATTTATCCATCCTGCCTGCTGCATATCATTGAAGTAAGTTTTACTGTAAATAAATACTCACTGTGATGGTTTGTGATCTTGCATTTAAAGTTTTCTGTGTGAATCTCTTCCAGTCGTCCAGGGAGGTTCTGATTTCTGTTTTAAAAGATCTTCAAGAGATCCAACAGCAGCCAGACTGGTAACGATGCTTTCCAAGTTCTTCAGATGAATACAATACAATACATGATGTAGGGTTGGGATATAATGAAATGCAAAGTGCTGTTCAAAGGTTTATTGTGAAAACAAGATGTTATTTGTGTTATTACAACATACAAACTTATCACGTTATAACATTATTCTTTTCATCTTCTTATAATCTGAAAAATGTCATGTTATAACGTGATGTGATTTTATTTTTATAATATAAAACATTTCACATGATGTGATAAGTTATATTGTTCCTAAAAATATAGAATTTATCTTGTAATAAGGTGAAAAGCTTCATGTTATAACATGATAACTTGTTTTATTAAACAATATACTGTTTATCTTGTTATAATGTACGGAAGCATATTGCTGCCACGGCAGAAAAATAAAAAACTGCGTTTTAACAAGATGTTATTATAACATATAAACTTATCACGTTGTAACAAGAAACTCCTTTTTTTATGATTATATACTATTTATCTTGTTTAAACCTCAAACGCTTCATGTTATAACATAATAACTTATTGTTATAACATGAAATGTTTAGCATTAGAACATTATAACCAATACTATATTGTGATTGTAATAGTGTAAGTTATCATATATTCTTATAACATCAAGAAATGTTGTAGTTATTTTTTGTATCATCGTGTACTAATTTCCCCAATATAGTTAAGAAGCTATTGAATATTGACCAGCTTGTGTGCTCGTTTGTATATTATTGATTTCAATTAGTAGTATCGCTGTCAACTTACTTTGTTTTCTTACACGTGTACGTCCATATACATCCTCATAGGGTCATTGTAGAATAGAGAAAAGTCTAGAAGCCCCTTACCTTCAGCCTGTTACTGTTATACTGAATATGAAACCATACACATTATCTTTACATCCCTTTTTAGCTCCTTGCTGGAAGCTCCCAAGGTTGTGTTCATGGCACACAACCATCAAAGCAGGCTGTTCCAACAGTGGAGCTACAAGGTTTGCTTTTTATCTTTTCTTCTGGTTACATTACGTTTCTCCTCAAATTCGTCACCTGTCTGCTTTTAATTTCTGAATTATAATCTGTATGGATGCTTGATGTTGACTGAAGGTGCTCAGTGAAGATCAGGCTGCCGGGGACACTGGGGCTAAGAGACCTGAGGAGGAAGAGGAAGCGAGCACAGAGACTCTGGTTTGCACTGTCCTGTCAGCACTGCAGAAACTGGGTGAAACGTCTAGGGTGTGTTTACTTTTATCTGTGTACAGCCTCTTTAGGGATTGATAAATACATTTATTTCTGTTTTAGTCTGTTTTTATAACCATAAAATGATCCTGTCACTGTTTATGAGTAACACTGTGTGTATTAGGCTCTTCCTGGGTTAGTGCTGGATGAGACTCCGGAGCTGATCGTCTCTCAGGAGGTCCTCGAGGAGCTTTGGGCTCGAGATGAGCTCCAGACTCCACAACAACACCTACAGATGTACAACTCACCGTTAAACATCAGCATGGACTTTGGTGAGAGGCTTGAGATTCGTTACAGCTGACAGGAATAGATTAGTCACTTTATGACGATTGTGTTAATGTCTGTGATAAATGAAGTCAAAGCTACACCAAGTCACACTTTGCTATGTTGTATATTCTGATCAGGACAAGTTATTCGAAGCAGCTGCCTCACCACAGTTTAACTTATTGGACAAAAGGTCAAAGGTAAGGACTCATTGTGCGTCTGTGTCCAGTATAAGACATCAAACCCCCCCTCTCACTGAAAGGCTGAGTTTTCACATCCTGTTTGTAGCCTGAGGTCAACTTTCTCTTTTCCTCTATATGCTATGTGCTAGGCTAACTTACGTTGAAAAGACAACCACATTTTGAAGATGATTAAAAGATTATATATTGTCACATGGAAATGTGTTTGTGGCGCTCACAGCAGTGAAAAATAACATTCAAAAATCCTCTGACTTTTCCTTTATAGTGCCATCATGAGGTTGTTTGATCTTTCTAGCAGTTTCTTTACAGTGAGCACTACAACCTCACAGAGGATGGCTGTAGACTCTAATTTAAATGTCACTTTTCATCGCCGTAAGCTCCACAAACAAAACACAACTATCTGCGTGAGTAAATACCGCTAGAGGTGAGAGAATGTGTGTTTTTATAATTTGGGTGAACCAACCCTTCATCCTGTGTGATATTTGTTCTGCTTAAACATACATTGATTTCTCTTTTCTTTGCATGAAGCACAGCACGTTGTGACCATGCTCAGTTTGTCGGAGGGTTTAAAGTGAAGCTGTTTGCTGTAGTTTTCACACACACAGGATGGTTGTTTGTCATCATACATCTTTCAGGTGTATTTCAGTGCTGTCACAGTCACTTTAAACTTTGATTAACCTTCCAATTCAAAATGTTTTATGCCTCTGCAGAATGTGTTTGGCCTTCCCTAAAGAACCTTGGATGTGACCGAAGGCTTCCTAGCAGAGAGAAATCACTGCGACAGTTTTATACCAACATTTAATATACGACTGTAGCACTTCTTCTTTCTTTCAATTTCATATATAAAACTTTTTGTTTGAGTGAAACAACACAATTTAGAAGAAAAACACAGAAAATCCAAGTAATATAAAAACATTTTTAATAGTTTCAACATTCGGATGAGGTTAATTTTATTTTTATCTTACTGTACACTGTGTTCCACTTGGTGACCGGGAGATAGCATGTCCAAGAAAAGGCAGTTCCTCTTTACTCCAAAACTTTTTAAAGAGTCCACAGCGTCACCACAGTTTGACACAAAGAACTTTTAGGTCTAAAAAGATTCCTTGATCACTTATGTGTTCCCTTTTTATTTTGGCCCCCGTTACTTGGAACTTAAACTTAAGCAAAAAAAAGAGAAAGAGAGATGACTGGAGATGTATTTGCAATGGCTGCATGCACCACAGTGTAATCGACAAACATTATGGGTAAAAACAATCCTGAATGCAGCACTTTGTTTTCGTTGTTTGCTGTATGATTTCAGTGTAAAGTCATAAGAACTTTTCAAGAGATTTTAGTCAGATAAAAGCGCAGTATTCTGGGCACAAACTGTTTTCTCTCCCATCATGTTAGCTGAAGATTTTTGATTTGTGCTTTCCTTATTTGCTATAGATACAAAAGGGTGGATCGTACCGTATTAATGGATCACACGGTGAAAAACAAACAGGGAATCATGAATGTCTCAAACAAACTGTTGGCAGAATTGATGGAGAGTTTGAATAAAAAAAAGTTCAAGGGCAGCACTGAATCTTCTTTTATAAAGGTCGATCTATTCACTTATAAAAAATAAATACAAGCACATTTATATAGGACCAAAGATGAGACATATTTCATAAGCATGGTTAAAAAGCATGCTGCTGAGTTTCACACAGGACAATGTCGAATCAAACACCCCCTCCTTCCCTCCCGCCCTCTCCCCTCCCTCCCCAAAATTGGTCATAACACACTTGTACTCAAATACCCCACCACCCTCTTTTACTTGAAACTATGTCCACAACACACACAATCCGCCTTTATCGCGACCTATAAGGTGAACATCGTCTATCACCAGTACATTCCACCTACTCGTGTAAAAAAAAAGGCCTTCGTATTTTAGTGCTCAAAGGGCATGCTTGCAAAAAGCTGTAATACTGGAAACTGTCTCTGGAATCTCTCCACGACTGTCTCTGTTGGACAGGGTTACTGTTAATAAAGTTGTGTTTGATGAATACTTTATGTACAAGCCTTAATCTGAAACCCTTTAGTACAAAACGAAGAGCAGCACATTGTAACACAGAAAATCCAGACAAAGACAGGACAGATCATTCAACTCAGCACAGCCAAATTGCAACAATAACTTTTCTTTTTTTTTTTTAAACTGTTTTGTGGTCAGCAAGTTTTTCTTCAACATTTTTAAACGATAAATACTGGAGATTGCATTTAATGCTGTATGCATTCAAACTCAGCTGGAGGATCTTTTTGAACCCAGTAATTGGTATGGTTTGTAGCTGAAACTGTTAGATTAATAGATTATTTGATTGAAAGAAAATTAATCGGCAACTATTTTGATTTTGAATTTTTTTATAGCCAAAATGCCAAAACAGCTTCTATATTGTGAGAATGTACTGCTTTTCTTTGTCCTATGTGAGAGAAAACATGGTCATTTTGACTGTTTTGCACTAGGAAATCGTCTTCTGACATTTTATCAACCAAACGATTAAGAAAATAATCAGCAGATTAATTGATAATGAAAATAACTGTTAGTTAAAGCCCTAAATTGTAGAAAAAGTCAAATTTTTCTTTTTAAACTGTTTTAATTCTGTAGTTTTTCTGCTTGTAAAAACACATTTGTATGTTCTAATTTTAAAATTAAAACGTTTAAAACTTCAATATCTATCTTATATTTATTATGGGGGACTGTACAGATGCTTGTTTCCAGTCGTGTTGTGGAACCGAGGAGATTCATTATCTGCTGTCGATTAGTCAAACTAAGAGACAGCGATGCAGCAGTTTCCTTGCAGAGTCTCTTTTAACCTCTTAAACCCTGCTGGATCTTACGATTGATCTACCATTACAGCCGCAGGTTGTGTGGAGAAACATCGTGCAAACCCACAGAAAATAGAAGAAGTATCAAATCTGCAGGTTAAACTGTGGGAAAATGTATAAAATGATGCACAATATGTTGAATTATCGTGTTGGAACAAGCAAATACAGATTAAAAACGCAGTATTATTCAACACTTTGGGATTTTTTTTTCTAACTGTAAAAGGTAAAATCAGGGTTCAAGAGGTTAAATCTTCTGCAACACAAGCACAATCAGCTGTTTTTATTTAGAAAATCTACAAACTAGATTTAACCTTGAGCCTACGACAGCGCCACAAGAGCTACTGTACCATATAAAGTTTTTACTGTGCGAACTCTACTTGATGTTTTTTTTGTGAATGTGGCATTATTGTGCTAGAACCAGCAACATTATAATATTATATGTAAAGTATAATGTTATAATGTTCGCTGTCATTTATATTTTTCAATACAGTATTTTGTATATATCTATTAATATATATCTATTTATATATATTTAAATTTCTTCCCGTCAGTATATACAGAACGTGAATGTACAGACGCTCCAGTATTTACAGAAGTCCTGTGAATGATATTTAAAAGAAAGAGGATGGTAGAGCAGCACAGTGACTTTGAGGCCATGTGTAGTGGATGTTCAGGACTGAAAGGAAAGTTTTACTAATCTGGATAGGTCACAACGAAACCCACCACCAAGGCAAATAACAAACTGCTGCTGTCGAATGCAAACCTTGTTACTCCAGTTTTACTGATTTTCAAGTTTTTCCTCTTTTAAACTAAAACCTCTAATTCCTGAAAAGGTTTCGATGCGACAGCAGGGAAATTCTGGTCCCATATTTGAATACTTTTTTTTTTTTGCTTTTTTAAATCCTGATGAGATTCATATGTAGTGGAAACAATCACAACTCTTCAGACCTAGTAAAAAGTACTCAGAAATATATCTGTATAAATACTCTCATCAAAATAAACACATATACACATATCTTTGCACTTGCCTCTGGTTCACCAATATAGACCAAAAATATCAGCATCATCACACAGGGTTCCTATAAACCGCGACGGGGAGGTGGCTGGAACTGAAGCGCCACTGGCAGAAAAAGAGGTGTGCTTGTTTTGCCTCTGGGGTTGCAGTTTGTTTTTGTTTTTGACAAAAATAGCACCTGTTTTTCTGGGAGTGTGACTGTCTCCAGTTATTTGTTATATGATATGATATGATGTTGTAATACCTCAGGGCAGGAGGACAAACTCTTGTGCCTGCATGCTCTCGCTCAGCTGAGCTAGCACTTCAGTGACGACGCTTCTCAAGGTGTTTGTAACAGGTCGACCCATGTGGAGCCTGGAGTGTGCCATCGGAGTCATTATGGAGCTTTACTTTTAATTAGAATATTCAAATAAGATGATTATTACAAAAAATATGATTAATTAGCATTTAAAAGCAGCTATAATTGATATTTTTATTGCACCTTTCAGCTCGTTGTTTTGCACCGTTTTCACACTGTTGTTTTAGAACACAACAGGCAGCTGTTTATAGAGCAAAAGCTCTGAAAACCTGCTGAGCACACAGACAAAGTTAGCATCTAGCTAATGGAGCAGCTAAAGAGACAGCTATTTCACTCAAGAGGTGTTAGAGACCAAAAACAGCTAAAAGACGACAATATGTCAGTGTTTACACCTTGTTTTATTTGCTGCTAAGCAGTGTTGGGAAAGTTACTGAAAAATAGTGATTAGTTACAGCTACTTCTCTTAAATGTCATTGAATTACTTTACCAATTACTGCCTATACAATGTATTATTTACTAGGTAAAGTAACTCTTGTGTTACTTTTAAATGATTCAAGTCTCTCATTAACGCACACAGCTGTCTATTATATTATTTTAGTGTTGCTGTCACAAATGTATCTAGTTATTAATACTCCCGACCACCAGAGGGCAGCGACGAGTAACATTCCTGCTTGTAAACTACACTTATTGTAGTAGACAGGAGGATTACCGTAAGGTCGGTGATGTTAGACATAAACAGGTAAATCAACTGTCCGCAGTTGTCCACTATTTTCAGGTTAGCCAAAAGTAACAAGTAAATTTCAGTAATTGCGTTATTTAATTTGAAAACCTAATTAGTTACATTACTAGTTTCCACCAAAAGTAGTGGACTTACA